CCTATTATTAATTATACATATTTATATTTGAATGTTAAACATACAATTGCTACATAATGTATAGGGTGTGAAACCCTATTGTAACTACAGGATGTTACACACTACAATTTCCCATTAAAAACAATCAAACAAAAAAGTAAAAAACCTTGGGTTTCCAAGGGAATAAAAACCTCGTCTAGGAACTTAAGATATTTGAACACTCTTAAAAAAAACTTCCCTACAGACTTTCTGAAAAATTATTATAATGAATATAGAAGAGTATACTGGAAAGTGATACAAAGAGCTAAAAAAATGTTTTCCTACGAGCGTGCGCAAAGAAGTACTTTTCCGCACGCATTCCAGGGCTCAAAGTTACACTTTTCCGCACTCAGTGCGGATACAGGCCTTATCCGCACTGAGTGCCGAAAAGTAAAAATACTTGTCAAGCAACAATAAGTGCACCTGTCGACTTTGACACATGATGACAAATTTTTTCTCGGTTTCTATATCAGCCAACATCAATACAAACACGAAATATAAATTAACCTTGACACATTGTCAGATTTGTTCTCTATTTATATGCAAGAATCTACAAACTTTATCATCAAATTTAAATGCTTTAAGATGAACAGCTCTGACGAGGATTTTCTGTTATTTTTTTTATTAGGTAATTTTTTGATAAATGTATAGGTTCGCTTCAAGTTAATTAAAAATAATTGAACAAATTATGGGTTTAAAAAAAAAAAAAAATCTTGTTACCTACCTGATATGAAGCTCGTAGGAAAAATGTTGTTCCTAACACGTGCGCAAAGTGTCTTTTCCGCACGCAAACACGTATCCGAACTCCGCTTCGCGTCGTTCGTATAACTGTGTTTGCGTGCGGAAAAGTGACACTTTGCGCACTTGTTAGGAAAATAACTATTTTCTACTTGCGTGCGCAAAGTAATCACTTTGCACACTAGTTTGCGTGCGCAAAGTTGAACTTTGCGCACGGAAACTCTTCGCGCACTCATTTTTGTTACGCATAATTACCATAGTTATACTTGATTTTTCAATGTTTTGACGGTTTCTAAATAAACTAATATTCAAAATGAAGGGTTTAAGTTGAAATTAAGGCTTAGTTAACATGATGTTTCCTATCAAAGGTGTCCAAATTGGACCAGCCTCTACTGCTAGGAATTTGTAAAATTTTTGATATTTAAGAAAATCTCATGAAAATATTCTTGCTGATTCTAGAAATTCCAGAAGATGTGAAAAGGTATTTGGGGATTTAATTTAAAAGACATTCTGAGGAATTCCAATAAATTTTAAACGATTTTTGAAGATTTTGATTTGACTGATTTTTCTAATATTTAAATAATTCAAAGTCTACTTTTTTAAGATACTCGTAGAAAAAATATTGTTCCTACACTTGCGCAAAGTGTCTTTCTCGCACTCAAAGCTTATCCGAACTCCGCTTCGTGTCGTTCGTCTAACTGCTTTTTCGTGCGGGAAAGTATCACTTTGCGCACTTGTTAGGAAAATAACTATTTACGCTAACAAAATTGATAATGCGAAAACCAAGAGTAAAGAAATTTGGAATATTGTTAACAGTTTGAGAGGCAGTAATGTAAAGCCTGCTTGTGAGACTGAAATAGATTCTAACACATTTGTCTGGGTTGTCATCGGATATAGATCCTATGAGCTATCTAAGGAATGTTTCTGTTCCAAATTCTTTTGGCTTCTACCACACAGATGTTGATGAGATAAAAACTACATTAAAGGCAAATAAAAAACAAAAATTCATCGGGGATAGATGACCTGTCATTAAAGATATTTAGCAACTTGCCCGACTGTGTGCTGGAGTTGCTTGCTAGGTTTATAAATTTATCTTGTGATATGGGTACCTTTCCCGAGAGTCTGAAGACCGCTCTGGTAAGACCAATTTTCAAGGGCGGTAGCACGGACGATCCATCATGTTACCGCCCTATATCTCTGCTGCCAACACTCTCTAAGATAATAGAAAAACTTGTTAAGTCTAGGATGGTCTCTTTTCTTCGGGCTCACGGGTTGCTGATGTCAACCAGTTTGGATTTCAGGACAAGACGAGCACTAGTGATGCAGTGTTCAGCTTTCTTCAGAGGCTGTATCTTGGACTGAATCAGGGGGAGATCGCGGCTGTGGTCTTTTGCGATTTTTCCAAAGCCTTCGATTGTGTAAGCCGTAAGATATTACTCCAGATACTCTTTCGTTAGGGATTCAGGGGTAACACTTTGAGCTGGATACAGTCTTATCTGACAGACAGAAAACATATTGTTAAGGGCCACAACAATGTAACATCGGTACGGAGCATTGAGCATGGGGTGCCCCAAGGATCAGTGCTTGGTCCCCTGCTTTTTTTGATTTACATTAATGATCTAGCTTGCATCAGCATTGATTACACTATTTGCTGATGATACTACCATCTTGTGGCTGGGATCAGACAAAGTCACCTTGGAGGATAGGATTGGGCAAGATATTCGCAAGGTAAAGCAGTGGTGTGACTCCAATAAACTATCTTTTAACATATCAAAAACAAATTTACTTTCCTTTAAGTGTTCTGTGGAAAATATAAGTTTAAATGATGAGCCACTTGCTAATAAGGAGTGTTCCAGATTCTTGGGCTTAGCTATAGACTCTAACTTGAAGTTTGGTGAACATATCAATGACCGGCGAAAAAAACTAGCTCCGGCATGTTATGCGTTAAGGACGGTTCGTAATGAGTTGGGTCATGACATTGCAAGGGGTGTGTACTTTGCACTTGTTGAGTCACGACTCAGATATGGCATTGAATTTTGGGGTTTTGCCAGTGGTCAAATAGTTAATTCAGTTTTTGTTTTACAAAAAGGGGCTGTTCGTTTATTGTATGGAGTCGGTTCTAGGGAGCACTGCCGGCCTCTGTTTATCCGGGAGGGAATTCTTACATTGACCTGTAATTTTATTTTACTGACAATTTTTTAAAACTATATCTGATTGAAAGGAGACGAAAACAAAAATTGACAATAATCCGCAAAAAAACTTTGGAAAAAAAGTTGAATCTAAGATTTCTGAAGGGGACATCAAAGGAGCAATCCAAATCCTAACATCCAGCGAGACATTAGCAACCAAAAATGAAGAAACCCTAAAAATTTTGGAAGATAAACATCCACCGCATGGGCAACAAATTTGCTTTCCTTCAAGCCCCGAAGAAATTGTAAAAATAAACATTTCAGTTTCGGAAATTCAAAAATCAATTTCCTCTTTCAGGCCAGGATCTGCAGGTGGTGTTGATGGATTGAGGCCTCAACACTTAAAAGGCCTTGTAAGTGAAAACCTTGGTACATTTTTTTCAAACCTTCTTTCCGCAATTTGCTCCTTCATAAGCCGTGTTGATAGTGCTTCTGTACCGTTGTGTGTTTCTCCAATCTTTTCTGGCGCGTCTCTATGTGCTTTTAATAAGAAAGATGGTGGGATACGCCCAATTGCAGTGGGGATGACTATGAGGAGATTGTCTGCCAAATTAGTATGTTCAAAAATTTTTGATAACTTGAGAACACTTTTTCGTCCAACTCAATTGGGTTTTGGGACGAATAGTGGCACAGAGGCAGTATTGTCATGCAATCAGAAGATATGTAACATTTCCCCATAATTCGGAAAAGGTTCTAATTAAAATAGATTTTTATAATGCTTTTAATATGGTAAATAGAGATACCATTCTTGATAGGGTAAAACAATATATTCTGGAATTTTATAATTTTATAAGTCAGAGTTATAAAAATGAATCTTTTTTATCATTTGGCAGTAATTTGATACTCCCTAAACGTAGAGTACAGCAAGGCGATCCATTGGGTCCTCCTCTTTTTTGTTTGGTTCTTCTACCAATTATATTAAAATTAAAGTCAGAAATTAATTTCTGGTATTTAGATGATGGAACAATAGCCGGTTCACCAGACACTGTTTTTGAAGATCTTGATTTTATTGAAAAGGAATGGTGGAAAGTTGGTCTTAAAGTTAATGATAAAAAATGCGAATTTTCAATCATATCAAATAATATGACTGTCAGATCTAAAATTTTTTCAAAATATAAATCTATAACAAGTCAATTTCCTACAATTTATTTGGAAAATCTAAATATACTTGGATGTCCTTTATCAAATTTTGAAATCGAGAAATGTTTGAATAAGAAAACTAGGATTTTCAATACTTTTTCTAAAAATCTTTTGCTACTAAATTCACATGTAGCCTTTTTTCTTCCAAAGCATTCATTTTCAATACCACGCATTACCTACTTATTGCGTTGTGCTCCATGTTGGAGAGTGCCACATTGTTTTGAAGATTTTGATGTGTGTCTAAAATCTTGTTTGGGAAATATTGTTAACTGCACTTTTAATGACATTTCATGGCAACAATGTATTTTGCCAGTGAGTATGGGTGGTTTGGGAATCACGGATTCGAAAACATTATGTTTTTAAGCTTTTTTGAGTTCAATTAAAAACACTTCTGCTCTAGTCTCTTGTATGCTTCCTAGCAGCATTTTTTCTGTAAAAGATTCAGCACTATTGACAGTTTTCAGTGGGACACCCGGTATAGGGAAATGTACAATCATGTCACAGAAAAATTGGGGTCCATATTGATTACGTCAGCAACACCGCTATAGGACTAAAAAAAATTGTGACCCAGGCTTTTTGTACTCGTCTAACCATATACTACCTGAACCCAAAGGGGTGCATTGGTTGCCAGATCCAGGGTGCCAAAATTATTTTGTTTTCCATAATGCTGATTTATGTTGCGTTTGAAGTTTTTCGGTTGTGATCTTGAACTACATGAAGAAATACACGGAAAAATACACAGATGTAATACGGGCTTCACCCCACTGTAAAGGCCATAAAATAACAATAGTTTGTGAAAAAAAAAACTTAATAAACAACACTTCAACAGCAGTCATGGGATTAGAAATCATTATAAGACATTTATTGGTTTTGACGACCAAAAATAATAACTTGTTGAGAAAATGTACTACTCACTCAATTCAGGATCTTTGACAATTTGTGTTCCGTCCATTTTAATATATTTCTCGATGTCTTCCTTCAACTGGCGAAAAATTGGTTGTTGGTATTTGTAGTGAACGTAAAAACTGAACATGGAATCTACGTGCAGCACGTCAACCCTCTCAGTATCTAATTAAGGAAAACATATTAAAAAAAAATATTGAACTTATCATTGTCTGACCCTTACCTAGTTTCTGCCGCGCTGGAGTTTTTGATTTACGTCTCGACTGATTTTTAGATTCATTGGTGCTTCCACTTGAAGGTTGTGGTGCAGTTTTTATTGGTGCTGATTTTACTGTATAATCTTCAATTTTTATGTCTTTTACTGAAATTACCAGTAAGTTAAATAATATAGATAGAAACCTATAATTGACTTACTTAAAGTGTTCAACTCTACATCAACTTCTGTGTCACTCTCGATAACATAATTTTCAGGTAGCTCATTTTTGGTAACTAATCTAAATTCACTGTCGTCACATTTTTCTATCACATAGTTTTCTTCAATGTTATCCATGGTTTCACTTTTAATCACAAATCTATGAAAGCAAATACATAATTGATTTCTTAATAAATGTAATATAGTTCTTTACCTGACAGGATCACTATGGCCGTTTTGGTTAATTAAAAATATTGGAATGTTTTCTATAGTCCTCAGCTTATCCAAGGCGCCTCTGAGATTCAATTTTTTATCACCTATTTTCTCCTCATTTAAAGCCACCAAAGATTTAATCAGTTCAGCCGACGACATTAAGGATGACTGAATATTGTCCAATCCCCTAAAAAGGAACCATTTTTTTTAGTACTTATAGGATAAGGCATAAAAAATATCTACTTGTGATTGGTTTTGAAACCTTCTAATTCGTCACACATTTTTTTCTCAATTGCTTGTAATTTCCCATGCGAATTTGCAAATCTTCCGGAAATTTCCTTTTTCACAGGACCTGTATCAAAGTTGACCATTCTAGCAGCTTTCTGCAAAAATTACTATCAATTATCAACATCTACCTATATAAACTTTTAAGTAAATTACCTTTTGAGCTGATAAAATTTGTCTCAATACTGCTTCTGCATTTTTTTGTAATTTCTTGAACTCCTCCATTTCATCAGGTTCCTACAAAAGAAAAGCCTCATACCATGGAAAACTTCAAAATCAAATTTTTCTTACAAGTTTGTAGAGCGCCGTCCTTTCATGAGCTGAGTGCTTGTCTAATACACAATAGCAACAAGAGGACAGCTCGCAAGTTTTACAGTAAAAGTCAACCTGCATTTCGGGATGAATATCACAGTTCTCCAGATTAAGACTGTTTATTGACGAACGTCTCGGTACAGGTTCGTGAGCCATGAGGTTTTTCGCGCTTTTATGTAGCACAATGCAGCATTCTTTACAATATATACCTGTTAATAAATAATGTTATTGTCCATGTATTCAGGTGATTTTTGGATTATCTTACCCTCACAGCTAGGGCAAAACAAGGTAGCTTGCTTTTCGCAACTTGCAAAACAACAACGTTCTGTGAAAAATGTATATTATTTATTTTGACTGCATATCAATTGAGTTAGTTACCTGAAGGACTGGGTAATACTGGTTGAGCTGCTTTTTTGGATTCAGTTGCAGACACTAATGACAGGCTGTTCAGATTCTTCAAATAATTATTGGAGCTTTGAAAATAATAATTCACAACCCCGAGAATATAAAAGTTTGGTAAAAATATTGTTTGCATGTCTGATTGGCAAACGGGTGCTTGTTCCTGTAGAATAAAGTAAAAATATCAATGTATTACTGTGAAAGCAGAATCAGTCATATTTTACCTTAGTTAATACAGACTCTTTGGCACAAGTCGGACAGCTCACTTTGCTGTTTTTCAATCCTTGATAAATGCATTCTTGACACATTGTGTGACTGCAGTGTAAAATGAGTGGAATTTTGCCGAAGTGTCTGTTTTCTGGCTGATCTGAAATATTTAAGAAATTATTATAGATGGAGGAAACGGTCAAAGCTTAGTGTCATTTCACACAAACAGATTGTCAGAATGTATTGTCAAAGCTGATACCTTACAAGTAGTTTATTTATGGCTGTTTCCACCAACTATTTTAGGGGAGCCCTAACGGTAAGTATTCCCTAAAATGACATTTTTACATGGAGACATGTCAGTTTAAGGAATACTTATCGTTAGGGCTCCCCTAAAACAGTTGGTGGAAACGGCCATTAATGAGTAATTTCACAAGAGATCTAATCGTCTCCAAAGCTCAAATTTTATGAAATCTTCATTGGTGCAAATGACATTATGATATTTTCAACCGACTGGCCGCTAGAGGTCTTTTCTCGATTTTGAACAATACTGTGAAAGCTTCATAACTTTTGAATGATGAAAATAATTAATTTCTGTATAAACTTTCTTAAAGTACTTTTTCAAGTAGAATCCAGTGAAATTGTCAGTTTTTTGATATTCGATTTCGAGACATTGACCAAAGTCTTATTTTTTGAGTAGGTCATCCTATACAGGGTGTCTGGAATAAGCTGAAGTAGGTACATGAAATTTTAATAAAGTTGCAAGTATTTCTGGTATTATGTGCGTAAATGATGATGTGCAATATACCGTTGGAAGCGCGTCTCCTCCTGATTGATAATCAATAATAGTATAGGTTGATATCAGAATACAAACTCGAGTTATACATATAGAGAAATGTATAATCATATCACAGAAAAATTGGGGGCCATATTGATTACGTCATCAACGCCGTTATAGGTCCAACCAAATTTGTGTCCCGGGCTTTTTGGACTTGTCTACCCATATACTATTTTTGAACCCAAAGGGGCGCATCGGTTGCCAGATCTGAAACTTTTCTTACCTATCTAAAGCCCGTATTACATCTGTGTATTTTTCCGTGTATTTCTTCATGTAGTTCAAGGTGCCAAATTATTTTGTTTTTCTGATTTATGTTGCGTTTAAAGTTTTTCGGTTGCCACCCTTAACTACATGAAAAAATACACGGAAAAATACAGATGTAATACGGGCTTTACAGCAGGAAAAAAACACCAAGTTTTCATTAATGAAAACTGAACTTTAAGGCGCGGGGGGAGTCGTCGCGAGGGATGTTTATTATACCCTGGTAGGGTCTCACCTACACTATGGGACAGCATTCTGGGGTGCGTACGATCTTCTACTTTCAGAAAAGAGCTATCAGATCAACGTTTCAGCTAAGACAGAGTGATTCTTGCAGGCCTTAATTCAGAGACTACAGAGTGCTTACCCTAACATCTCTGTATATATTGGAATCAGTTTGTTCAATATTTAAAAATAGATACAGGGATAACTACAATTTCCAGCATAACTATAGAACTAGACAGACATAGGTTGTCTATCTTCCGATACCCTCTTCAACAATGATAAAAAAATCCTTAATACATGAAAGCCGTAAAATGTTGAATAATACCTTTACAATTGGGAGAACATGCTATGCCAATGCCTTCCGGAAAAACATAAAAAACTATCTTTTGGAGAAGTGTTTTTACACTTTGGAAGAGTTGAATGTTGATTGTTAGTGTAATAATGTAATGATGTTGATGTTTTATTTTATTTTATTTTGTTTCTAGTTGTATTTTTGTGTATTATATTAAATTTTAAATTTTCTATACCTTATGAATGCGACTCACATATTTAGTGTAAATTAGTAATTTTATCCAAGACTGTTTGGCTATGTGGGTGGAGTTAGCACTAGTGATGCTATATATGAGTTGGTGGAGCAACTAACTGCTAGACTCAATGTTGGAGAGAGAAGCATTGCTGTGTTCCTGGATCTAGCTTAGGCTTTCGACACTGTGCCTCATGACATGTTAATAAACACGTTCAAGAAGTGTGACGTCAGAGGCTGAGTGTTGCAAGTCTTTGTGTCATATTTGACAGACAGAAAACAAAATTCTAAGAATAAGAAATGCTTTCGGTGACCCTTTTGACACCATGATTGGTGTTCTTCAAGGAACTGTGCTCGGCCCCTTATTATTTTATTGCGTATATCAATTCTATGTTAATGCTTGATGTTGGTGGCTTCATTATTTCTTATGCAGACGATACTGTCTTGGTGTTCTCGGCTGGAGACTGGGGACTCTGTTAGAAATAGGGTAGCCAATGGTATGTCTATCATCAAAAACTGGCTGGATTATCATCAAACTCACTTGAAACTTAAACAAAACTCGCTATATAGCATTTTCCCTAACGAGTGTAAATAGGCCAGAACTCTATAGTATCAGTATTGATAATCTAAACACATCTATTAAAGAGGTTTCTAATATAAAATAGGACAATTATTGACTGTCACCTTAAATGAGAACACCATGTTTTTAGACTGAAGACCAATCTAATGAAGCTTATTTATAAATTTTGTGTGAGATTATGTTTAGGCAGCTACTTACGATGATTCATAAGGCACTGGTCGAGTCATTAGACATGTTATTGTGGTATAGAGTGGACTTTATAGTTCCGCCATCCTACAGCTCAATGTATTACAAAACTATATTCTAAAGGTTATAAATAAAAAACAAAAACGTTATTCAACAAATCTTCTGTACAACGAAAATATATTTATTGTTAGGTCCCTGTATGTTCTTTCTGTACGCTCTCATGTCCATAAGGTAGAGAGCGTTAAGAAGTATGTAAGCCATTGCCATGCGACTAGAAGTATTAACAATGAACAAATTACAAATTCCAATTAGCACAGAACTATCAATCATAGGTTTATTAGTTATTTAGGTCCAAAATTCTTTAACTCGTTGCCAGAGAATGTTAGAACTATTAGGACCCTAAACTGATTTAATTCTGCTTGTAAAAACTATACAGGGTGTCCCACAGGGAACCAAATCGATCTATACATATATGAAAAACTGTAGGCAGAAAATTTCAAATAAGCAAGTTGACGTTTACTTCCGGTATAATCGGAAGTGCCACCATCTCGAAAATATTTTAGCCAGGTTGTCCACATTGACATTAGTCAGGCCCTGCGATGTCTCATTGCCAGTGATAAACCCTTAGAGCAGGTAAAGGTAAAGGAGTAGTAACCTGGATTTGGAAAATGAAGCTGTTTTTTTCCAGGTATTTTGGCCCACAAAAAATGGCGGTTATGGCAATTCAATGCTCTACCTGTATTTTGGTGCCAAACACCTGCCAAAAACTTGGCTTCACTTTAGTTTCATAAGCAGAATGGCGCGTTCCTACTCCTTATGTCCGTAGGACAGCGCTTTACCTGCTCTAAGGATAAACCACATAATTACTCTTTTCCGCTTCTTTAGATGTCGCTGACAACTGACAACAACAGAATTGTAAAATACCAGCACATCAAGGACACGTCCGATGTCAATTAACATCGACATGTCAACATATGACAATATGCCAAAATATTCATTTGATCATAACTAATAATTCATAATGTATTTCGTTCGCTGGTCTTGCATTTCGTCTTTTTTTGTGTTGTTAATTGTTTTTAAGTGATTTTAAAGATGTTTTGTGTGCTTCACGAAGACTTTAAAACTTTATAGATTGGAAGATCTATTTTTATCTTTGTTGATTAGATAAATGACAGGTTTGTAGATACCTGTAATGATATTATACCTACGGTTAGGCAACCCACATGACATTGTAAAGGATATTGACAATTATTGATATACGTCATGGAGACGAAATAATAAATCAGTGTTGAACTTCACCTCGAAGAAGGTAGTTTTATTTAATTCCTAAACCTACGTTAAATACTAAATAATTACAAATAATTACATTTATTACATGGCGCAGTCTTTAGAAAGTTCGACATTCAACCGGCATAATCAATAATTTCAATAAAATTCAGTGGTGCCGACAATTTCAATTACAAATACAAGGCTCATAACCTAAAATCGAAAATGGGTGATAGTCGAGGAATTTCTCCCTTGTGTTTAAGGGGCAATCCGGCTGAAAATTGGAAATTATGGAGGGCCAGGTTTGAGAATTACTTGGTGGCCTCAGAAGTTTACAAGAAAGATGAAAAAACACAGTGCGCACAATTACTACACTATATAGGTGATGAAGGCTTCAAAATTTTTACAACCTTCAAAATTCCTGCGGATGAGAAAAATAAACTGGAGCCCCTAATGAAGAAATTTGAAGAACATTTTATTGGGAAAGAAAACATTGCATTTGAGAGATATCAATTCTTTTCGTACAGACAGGATGAAGGCCAAAGTACGGAAGATTTTATTGTGGAATTAAAGAAAAAAGCTAACCGGTGCAAACTAGATGGCCTTCAAGATAGCCTCATAGTAACAATGATTACTTGTGGAATTAAGAATGAAACCATAAGGGAGAGGCTCTTGCAGGATGACAGTTTGTCACTTGATAAGGCAGTAGAACTGTGTCAAGTTCTTGAGTCCGCAAAAGTTAGAAGCAGGGCTATGGGCCAGTCTTCAGCAGAAGTTCATGCAATCAATTACAAGAAAAAAGACCATCCTCGTGCAGTGAGAAATTGCAATAAATGTGGAAAAAAGGAGCATTTGGTGAATCAGTGCCCAGCGTTTGGGAAAACCTGCAACTATTGCAAAATACCTAATCATTTTGCAACTGTGTGTTGGAAAAAAAAGGGACAATCGAATGATGCAAGGAGGGTCCAAAGAGTGAATGAAATTTCAGAGGAAGACACAGTCGAGGACACTGTTAACTCGATAACAGTAGACAAAAACTTTCTGTATGTTGGAAGTGTTACAAGTGAGGAAAATACAGTGAAAAGTTGTGAGTGGAAAACTGAGCTAGAAATAAATAACAGACTGGTAAGTTTCAAAATAGATACAGGGGCAATGGCTAATGTTATGTCACTAAATTTATTTAAAAGTCTTGGTTTTGATATGTGTGATATAACTCAGTCAAATTTAGCTCTTCACTCATATACAGGGGATAAATTAAAAGTTCTTGGGTGTTCTTCCATTTTATGTAACAAAAATAATCTGCGTTATAAATTAAATTTCTTTATTGTAAATTCCAATACGGATGCAATTTTGGGTTTAAATTCCAGTATTAGGTTGAATCTTGTAATGAAAATTGATGGTTTAAATTCAAATGCTAGAGATTATTCTGAGCTTATTAAAAAATACAAAGATCTTTTCAGTGGAATTGGTTGTTTAGAACATACATATCACATTGATTTAGATGAAAATGCCAAACCTGTTGTTCACCCTACTCGAAAAGTAGCTTTACCATTGATGAGTGCCTTAAAAGAGAGTTTAGAGGAACTTGTAAAATGTAAAATTATTGAAAAAGTACAAGGTAGCTCAGAATGGGTAAATGCACTAGTTTTGGTGAGGAAACCTAATAACAAACTACGTATATGTCTTGATCCTAGAGATTTGAATAATTACATTAAAAGAGAATTTTATAAAATACCAACTTTGGAACAAATAACAAGTAAATTATCAAATTCAAAAATATTTAGCACCTTGGATGCTTCACAGGGTTTTTACCAAATTCCTTTAGACGAATATAGTTCTAAACTGTGTACCTTTGGCACTCCCTATGGAAGGTACAAATTCTTACGCCTTCCATATGGTATTAAATCTGCACCTGAAGTATTCCAGGCTAGATATAAAGAAATATTTGACATAGAGGGTGTAGACACATACGTAGACGATTTACTGGTGTGGGGTAGTACAGTAGAAGAGCATGATGATAGATTAAGGAATGTTCTCGAATTGGCTAAACAACATGGTGTAAAATTTAATTTAGAAAAATGTAAATTTGGACAATCAGAAATAAAATACATGGGACATTTAATTAGTTCTTCTGGAATCAGTCCGGATGAATCAAAAATCAAGGCAATTTCTGAGATGCCTGAACCTAAAAATAAACATGATTTGCAAAGGCTACTGGGTGTTCTTACATATGTGAGTAAATTCATAAAAAATTTCTCGGATAAAACTGTAATTTTAAGAGCCTTACTAAGGAAAGAAAATGAGTTTGAATGGCAACCAGAACACCAGGTAGCATTTGAACAAATAAAAGAGATTTTAAGTAGTAAACCTGTTTTACAATTCTATAATATAGATTTAGATACAGTTGTGTCTGTAGATGCATCAAAATCAGGATGTGGAGCAGTTATTTTGCAAAATAATTTACCTTGTGCCTATGCATCAATGGCATTTACAGATACTCAATGCAGATACGCACAGATAGAAAAGGAACTTCTGGCAATTTGGGTTGGTCTGGACAAATTTCACCAGTTTGTTTTTGGAAAAAAAGTTGTTGTTGAAACGGATCACTTGCCTTTAATTAATATTTTTAAAAAACCGTTAAACAAATGTCCAGCCCGACTTCAACGCATGCTACTGCAAATTCAAAAATACGACATTGATGTTAGGTATAAGCGTGGAAAAGACTTGATTTTAGCTGATGCTTTGTCTAGAGCTTTTATACAGGATTCACAAAATACTTATTATGACAAGGAAATATCGGATCATGTATGCATGATTGTTTCAGAAATTAATATAACCAAAACTAAATGGTCCGAATTTCAACAAAAAACAAACAGTGATCCGGAATTACAAATGCTTAAAAATACTATTTTAAATGGGTGGCCTAATAATAACAAGGTGTTACCTGATTGTGTTAGAAAATATTCTCAATACAAAAATGATTTGACAGTAGTTGATGATGTGATTTTCAAGGAAAAAGCAATTGTAGTTCCGAGGAGCCTAAGGAAAGAAATGTTGGATAGAGTACATTATAATCACTTGGGTATTAACAAATGTCTATTATTGGCTAGAGAATCTTTGTTTTGGATTAACATGTCCAATGATATTAAACAAAAAATATCAAATTGTGAAATATGTATCAAATATTCTTATGCACAACAATCTGAACCTATGATTAGCCATGAAATACCCAAATTACCCTGGAACAAATTAGCTTGCGATTTGTTTGAACTACGAGGAAAAAAATATTTATTAGTTATAGATTATTATTCTAAATACATTGAGTTTAAAGAACTACATGACGATACAACTAGTGGTAAAGTAATAGAATGTTTAAAAAGTATTTTTGCTAGACACGGTATTCCATTGACTGTAGTATCAGATGGAGGTCCACAATTCAGTTCGAGAGAATTTTTAAAATTTTCAAAAGATTGGGAGTTTGATCATGTTCTGAGCTCTCCGACTTATGCACAGTCGAATGGAATGGCAGAACGTAATGTTCAAACTGCAAAAAACATTTTTAAAAAAACACTAGAAGATAATAAGGACATTTATTTAGCATTACTGTTCTATAGGAATATGAAAATTGATGGCAAATATTCACCATCGGAAATTTTAATGTCTCGAAAGTTAAGATCCATTTTACCATTAGACACTTCTAGTTTGAAACCTAAGAACGTAAACTTTTCAATGTACAATAATTCATTAGTTAATAAACAAAAAACATGCGAAAAATATTACAATAGAAATGTGAGAAGTTTACAACCCTTAAAAGTTGGAAATAATGTTTTTGTACAGTTGAAACCAAAAGGTTTGTGGCAACCTGGTATCGTGTTAGAAAGGGTTAGAGATAGAACCTATAAGATAGAAATGACAAATGGAAAAGTTTTTTATAGAAATCGTAAATTTTTGAAACCAGGTAAAAATCAATCAACCAAGCCTGTAATACTAAATAAGAAAAACTATCATTCATCATTTCTATCTTCCGAAAGGAAGGAAAAAGAGGAGGATGTAAAGTATTATTTAGAATTAGATTCTGAACAAAATATTGTTAATAATCAAGTGGGTGATAATCTAAAAATTACATCTTCAGGCAGGATTATCAAAGCCCCTAAGAGGCTGAACTTTTAGAAGGGGGATGTAGATACCTGTAATGATATTATACCTACGGTTAGGCAACCCACATGACATTGTAAAGGATATTGACAATTATTGATATACGTCATGGAGACGAAATAATAAATCAGTGTTGAACCACAAAACATCCCCCCTTAGAAAGGTAAGTACCATGTTGAGAACCTGTCTATAAGTTTTCAGCGCCTCTAGTGACTGGAGGGGTCAGCTTTTGTAATTCTGGATTTATTGGCGAATGCAAAACGCAATTAAGGTTCGTTCGGTATCTTATTCGTTCCGGTGGATTGTTTGCACCATTGTTTGATTCTAGCGATTCAACACCACTACTTTAAAGTTTCTACTATTTTTTGGCATAAAATAATAATGTGCCAAAAAGAAGAAACTCATAAAATCGGTAGCGTTGAAGCGCCTTCAAGGTAAAATTGACTAAGAATTGAGATGACTTTAGATATTTATTAAAATTTGAAACAGAAAATATAATAGAATATGGAATTAATTAAAATTATTGCGAAACAGTTTTTTTTCATGTAGGTATACATACATAGGTAATGCTAGTTAAGTTGAAGATAATAAGGACAGTTACAAGAAGTAATGACGTACATTTAACAATAGCTTGATGAAAAACTTAAGTCGTAAATAAAATGACAAAAGGGGTCCTTTTCTCACAATCCAAAATCCTTGTTAACCTAACAAGTGAGGAAAGTGATACCTATTTTTCTGCACGTGATGAAAGTTGCACGAATGACAACAAAAAGCAGAGTTCGGGCAAGCCTTTGAGTCCAGGAAATACACTTTCCGCATGTGTTAGGTAGAAAGTTGAAAGTTTATGTAGTTATACATAATATAAAGCTCATTCAAGAAACTGATTTCGCCTGGATGATAGAGTAAATATTTTTGATAATAGTCTATACCCTTTACCACTAGATTTAAGCAAAGACAACGCCAACAACTTCTCGTCCAATGTTAATCGTCTTGCTTTAGGCTTTTGGTTTTGAGTACGGATTTGCTTAAAATAAAGCTGTATATCAGTGGATTGACATGGTCTACGAGCGTTTGAAATTTGGTTGATGATGCAAGTTATTCAGCAGAAGAAACTTTGGATTTAAATGACGACAACCTTCTACTGATTCTGCTTAACTTATTGCTGGATTCTATAACTTTGGAATAAAGATATTTTTCCCTTGGGAATAGGAATTTTTGCCTAGTGACGTTAATGTTCTTTAAAATTTGGCATCGTCTCTCATGACCTGCAAAAAAAAAAATAGATCAAGATTAGGGACGAGTATTTCGCACATTTAGCTTCTATTTTTTTTAGCATTCGATTGCAAGTTTTAGTAATTAATAGTCTTTTATAGTAGTAGTCCTACTTGAGTTATGATGTTTTAAAATTCAAATACCTACTCCCAACTGGGTGGTTATTCATTAAGCAATAACACTTACCAATAAAAGTTTTAAGAGACAAAGTTGGTGACTTTTTCATGTTTGCAAATGTGATAGTTCCACTTGGTGTAGCAATGTCTGCCCGAATTGCCGAAGTTTCAGTAGATAAAAGTTGACAACGTGAAGGGCCTGGTTGATCTAAAACAGAAATTTGGTTAACAATGATTCTACCAAAAAAGTTTGGATACACGCATTGTAGAATATGGTGTACCTGTATGTAACCAGGAATATTTTAATTATTGTGTCTCCTGATAAAGGAATAAACATTAAAAAAAAAAGAAATGAATAATATTAGCTTTGTTCCAACACAGCAGAAAACCGTACAATGTACCGTCACGATTCTGCGCAGAAACTAAAATTCGTATACTGAGTGGTTTCGAAACCGTTCATGGGACGATTTTTTGACGTGTTGGAATAGACTTATTATGTTTACCTACCTATGTCAATCATAGTTGCGAAACTAATTTCTGAAGACGTCTTAGGACTCTTACGAGTTTCAACTGTGTCGATCTCCATTTTTTGCCATTTTGGTGATTGTGTTTCATCAATTAACGACTCCTCACTGTTTTTGATAATTGGGGCTAAAATTAAAATTAATTTTAATGTTTCTGACCTATGCTCCTTTAAACCCGAATTCTAACACGTTGTCGTTAATCAGAACTATAGGGAGGAGTAAGTGAAAATGTAAGTACGTCTTCTCACATATATCTAGTATTAACTTACCTTCAGGGAGATACAGCAAAAGCGCAGCATTCCATGTGAGTCCTCGTCTGGCTTTTGGATCGCCAACAATAAATTCTCGAGGAAAATGTCTTGTTCACACTCTTTAATTATTATAAGCCTTCTCGACACTGAGGCTATTTAGCAAAGGATTGCGAACTTTTATTAGCCATTGTTTCATTTTTTCGGCATCTTTTGGAAACCGGAAATAGCTGCTATATTTGTCGCCGCACCCCGGAACACAGCATTTCTGATGCTTTTCAATTAACAAACTGGGAGAAGACATTTTGAGATAATAATTATTGATAATTGATAGGTAATTGATAATTCTAAATGTTGGGAGAAGTTCAAAATTTAAACTTTAACGACTGGAAATGACAAAATAAACTTCAAATCTTGGCGCACGGTCCGACAGGAAAAAGAAAACTTTAATAGGTTGATTGAAGCGCCTCTAGTGATTGGAGGGGAAAGCTGAAACAACTAGACTGACGTCTCTCATAAGACTTACATTTCTAAGAGGGGATGTTTTGTGTGTTGAACTTCACCTCGAAGAAGGTAGTTTTATTTAATTCCTAAACCTACGTTAAATACTAAATAATTACAAATAATTACATTTATTACAAGGTTCAATTAAACATCAGTCAGAACTTTTAATAAATATGTTAAGAGGGGCGTTTAAATAAAAAGTCATTTACAGACCTTCACAAATTTCTGTTCAATTACAAATTTTGACCACTTTTCAGTGAAATGAATGTTCATAACAATAATAGATTGGAGTATGGGTCGAGGCATTTTTGGTTGCAAAGCACGCAGTCTAAATAGTAAAATTATTACCAGTTTTGTTGACAACAGTATGCAAATTTTGGTCACGGATTTAAATGAAAAATGGATAAACACATAGAGTAGCACAGAAACAATAAATTTCCAAAGTTACGGATCATAAAATGCTGGAATAAATGAAAAGAACAGAATTTCCGAAAATTTATGATGTTTTTATTCTAAAATTAATCAAAATCTGCCAACAGTTTGCAACCTGTCAGAAACAATCGCTCAGCTAAGTTACCGATTTGTCTTGGACCAAAGGCATTGAAAATATGTATGGGTGATGTGCTTGTCACAGTTTGCAAACTGTCAGAAACTCTTGTGAGAACAGACCTATTGACACCGTGATAATTAACAGATTTTGTCTAGTGGCCTCTATATCAAGAATGGCTGAACTGTATACAGGAACGAATATAATTATTTATTCTTTCATCGGGTGATCGGACGATCGCCGAATTGCCCCATTGGACCATTTCTTGTAATGTTATCAATTAAATAATAAGTTTTATTTTTGTTTTTTTTTTTGCTTTGTTGGTAATTTGATAACATCCCTAAGCACTGGGGATGCGGCTTGTGCCGCCCCTTGCAGTCCTACCGCCCCGGGCCATGGCCCCCATGGCCCTATTGTAAATACGCCACTGAGTATACGCATACCTTTATATCGTTGAACCTGAAGCTTATTTAAGTATAACCTCTTTGTTATATGAGATCAAAAGAGACATACAATAACTGAAATGAAGGAAAATGATTGTATTACAAATAATTTTTTTGGTCCAAGCAGATATATGTACGGAAATTCTTTTCAAAAACCCAATTTTTTGTCCTAATTTCTTGATATTGAACGTGACTGCAAAAATCAAGCTGAGGGTCTAGAAAGATTCACTAGTATTTAATTTTTGTGAATATTCAATAATTACTCCATCCAAGTATATTGCTAAATTGAAATTCTTATCACTTAACTTTTTACAATGTATCTTACTAGCTAAAATTATACAAGTTTTTTGAGTATTCAATTTTAACTTATTTACATACAGCCACCGATATAGTATTATTTAATATTGCATTGCAGTCGTTTCTTCAAAATCATTCCCAGACACAGAAATAACTGTATCAACAGCAAAGAGACTGATGAAACTATTTTTTAGGACGTTATGAATACTTTCAGCTCATAAATATCTACAAGCCCACAGACTATAAAAATAAAATGAATTTGGCGCTTGTACTACAGAAAATTAACTGACTCTGCTGAGGGAAGCAATAATTCTTGTATAAATTACGCGCACCGCAATGCAGTCGGGGAGAGGTTAGTTTCCACAGCCTTAAGCTCTTCGAGGGTACAGGCCTAAAGACTTTCCCTCCAAGTTGGGTGTGACTTGCTACAGTACGACTGAGAACTGAGATCGTAATAGTCCAGGAGGCAGTGAAATTTTTTAGCACTTATTTTCCCAGTTGGTGTATATTAAATAGTTTGTTCTCTTGGTGATACAAAACAAGAATTTTTGAGTTTAGCAAAAATTTTCGGATGGGTTCACAAGATCAATGAAAAACACAAGTATAGTCTATCGATAGTCAAATGAGACAGTAAAAAAAAATTATATTCCTTTGGCCGTCGGCGTTTTCTTTATGAAGCACTGGCGGAGTAAGAGAAATTTATTAAAACAGTTTTATATAAAATAAAACATGAGGCATGATACAACTCAAATAGGAATCAAATTTATAAAAACTATCTACTGCACTGTCTTTCCAGACGAAACTGATTAGCAAGCCAGTGGCGCATCCAGAGTGTGGGTAAACAAAAATCCGGTACACGTGCTTACTTACCGTCGCGCCGGCCGGAGGCAGCTTGCCGCAGGCTCCCCGAAATTTTTTTGGGGGCGTCAGGCCCAAATTATTACCTTCCAAAAATCGATGTTGAGAAAACAACGATGTTTTTCTATCAATATTTTCTTAAAATCGATATCAGCTTTCGATGTTTTATCGATACCGAAACATCGATGTTATCAGTTGGATGGGCATCCCTAGTTGTTAAATGTGTGGTAAAGTGCGTTTTTTTTTAAAGATAATTCCCCAAGTCAAAAATTTAGTAACTATGTTGGCAACACAAGCCTTTTCTACATGAAAAATTTGAAAGCATTGACAATTTTACATTGTATTGCCAACATAATGTCAGTTTGACTTTTATCTTTAAAAAACAAACGCACTTTAGGTAAGGACGGAATTTATAGTTGTTCCTTGGGTCTTCCTTGAAGGAGTTAAGAGTGGACACTTGCTACTATGTGACAAGTTATTCATATATCAATTCTAAACGTTCAAGGCCTCCTTGAGGTCTAAGGATTCTGAGGAAACCTAAAGGAGCAACTATAAATTCGGCCCTAAGGGCCGGTTTCTCAATAGCAACTCACCCCCAGGTTAAGCATAATTCCATTGAAACTGGACACGTAAGGGCAGGTTTCTCGATAACGAGTCACCTCCGGGTAATTTCAACTCCAGGGTCAGCGTGTCCAGTTGCTTTGTTTACCTTATGTTTAACCCCTTATTTAACCCGGGGGTGTCCTGCTATTGAGAAACCGTCTCTAAGACACTATTACCCTGGCCGAGTTGGTTTTTGTCATCTTTTTCGTCAATTTGCTTCAAATTTTTGACAGGCACGTGACTGGATAAGATAGTTTCAATTTACAAATCACAAAAATGAACTTGGTCCCCTGGAGTTAAAACCAACCCAGAGGCAAATCGCTATTGAAACCGACCCTAAGTGGCGCGGCACCGAGTGAGACATTTGACGTCGATGACGAAGACAAAAGTAAAAAAGCGCTGCTGCCTTAGAGCAGGTAAGCGCTGTCCTACGGAAATAAGGAGTAGGAACGCGCCATTCTGCTTATGAAACTAAAGTGAAGCCAAGTTTCTGGCAGGTGTTTGGCACCAAGATATAGGTAAAGCATTGAATTGCCTATTCCGCCATTTTTTTGGTGCAAAAATACCAGCTCCATTTTCCAAATCCTGGTTACTACTCCTTTTTACCTTTACCTGCTCTAAGGCTGCTGCTATGTTAGTAGTATTTTAATAGTTTTCGCAATATAATTCCTATATTTTCAGTATAAAAACTAAAAATTTAGGTTGGTTGAAATTTTTCTAGTTTTCTGGGGGGGGGGGGGGGGTAATTACCCCCATTACCCCCCCCGTATATGCGCCCCTGTAGCAAGCGGCGGCCGCTTCAAAGAAATATGCCGCCAAAGACGCCGCTTCGAAGAAATAAAACGCCGCTAAAAAATCTAGCCAATAAGATATTCCTGGAGTCAACGTTGACTGTATAAAACAACCAATAAGATGCATTGTTCGCACGTGGATTCGCATCCAATGTATACGGGCACGCTCAATATATTTTTCCTAATAATAGTATAATAATTTTAACGGGCAATACGATAATTTGAGGAGACCCCAATTTTTGCCTTGTCTCGTTTGAGAAACGATAGACTATACACTTATTTTCCCAGTCATATATAGCAATTTGGCTTATCTCAGATATTGGAAAGTGAGTCTGGCTGAAATTTTTCGATCCTCAATTTTCCACTTGCCAGACGTATTATCCATACTGACAGATTAGCCGGACTATTTTTATACGTAACTTCAGTGTACTTCTCATTAGTAGAACTATTTTTATCATTGGAAAAAAAAGGGCTGTGCATTCGTAAGTTCTAACGCATTTTGCGCCTCAACCCATCGGAAAACCCCCCTAAAAATATATGAATTTTGCTTAGAATTACTAATCCTACAATTCTATCCATATTGTCTGACTGGGAAAATAAGTGCCTAAAATCGTCACTGCCTCCTAGACTATAAGGTGAATGTCATACTGTAGAAGCCCCACTCAACGCCCCAAACTTAGACCTATGGAAACTAAGCTCCTCGAGGGTACGTGCCTCTATACAAGACAGTCGCGAAAATAGTGGGACTCATTTTTGATTGGCTACAGAATAACCGTCTTGTTTTGTCGAATGTTATTTGTATTTACCATTTGATCCCATGGCGATTTATGCAATTTTGTGTTTATATATTTTTGTTTTTTTATTTGTGCTTATAGACTATTTTGTGACAAGAAAATTAGAACAGAAAGAAAATAAGGATCAAATACATTATTAAATGAGTTCGACAAAACATGGCGGGTGGGCGGAGCTTAGGCGCTAAAGTTATTTGTGTTTACCATTTAATTCTATGGATATTTA